TGTAAAATCTATGGAAAACGAAATAAGAAAGCAATGAAAACGAGTGACCTATCAAACAAGGATGACTACGGGTATCGGGATCGTATTCGCGTGTATGAGTATTTACTAAGCATGCAAGAATAACGACATCGTACTTGTATTCGGGAATCATCAAGCAACAAGAATAGAGAATTCACCTCTCGGTCTACTAATTAACTCACTACCTAGAATAACTCGTCAATCTCTCGATCTATTCAAGTTAACCCTAGATGCATGAAGAACGCTATCATCAACCCTAAATCGATTAAACCATATTTCTATGTGAATAATACGATTCATTCATCAATCTCGATCCGAAACTAAACTCATATCTCTATGTGATTCAGAATCTCAGAATATTGGCCAAGTGATTAGCAAACACCAATAGAAAAGAAAGCATAGATCGATAAACCGAAACAAGCATAACCACTACAAAAAAATGGTCATTTTCAACGGGTAAATCCGTTGGAAACGGCCAAATTTCCGTTGGAAATTAATGTTTCCAACGGATTTATCCGTTGGAATTTCGTCGTTAGAAATCGGTGTCCGTTGGAAAACCGTTGGAATTTTCAACGGAATTGCAACGAATTTTTCCGTTGGAAATTTCCAACGGATTTCCAACCGCAATCCGTTGGAATTTTCCAACGGAATTTCCAACCGATATCCATTGGAATTTTCCAACGGAATTTTCAACCGCATTCCGTTGGAATTTTCCAATGAAAAATTCGAAACATATTCCCGACCAGCCCCCGATCCCGACCCCGACCCGACTCGACCCGACCCGACCCGACACCGACATCGACACCAACCCGATCCGACCAAACCACGATCCCGAAACTCACTTCCCAGTAGGTCACCCATCATTCAACTGCTCCAGCTCAATCCTCCTTAACCCTAGAGTTCCAATTAGAACTCTTCCAACTCCTCCAAGTTAAACTTCTAATATCATATAACATTAATATATATACATATTCAAATTCATATATTAACGTTTCCAACGGATTTCCAACGGATTTATCCGTTGGAATTTCGTCGTTAGAAATCGGTGTCCGTTGGAAAACCGTTAGAATTTTCAACGGAATTTCAACGAATTTTTCCGTTGGAATTTTCCAACGGATTTCCAACCGGCATCCGTTGGAATTTTCCAACGGATTTCAATTTCCAACCGATATCCGTTGGAATTTTCCAACGGAATTTTCAACCGCATTCCGTTGGAATTTTCCAATGAAAAATTCGAAACATATTCCCGACTCTGATCCCGATCCCGACCCCAACCCCGACCCCGACCCCGACCCGACCCGACCCGACACCGACATCGACACCAACCCGATCCGACCAAACCACGATCCCGAAACTCACTTCCCATTAGATCACCCATCCTTCCACTGCTCCAACTCAATCCTCCTTAACCCTAGAGTTCCAATTAGAACTCTTCCAACTCCTCCAAGTTAAACTTCTAATATCATATAACATTAATATATATACATATTCAAATTCATATATTAACGTTTCCAACGGATTTCCAACGGATTTATCCGTTGGAATTTCGTCGTTAGAAATCGGTGTCCGTTGGCAAAC